AATCTAATTTTCCTTGATTTTGTAGTAATCACAGCCTTGGATTCAGCAATAGAAATATCTTTCCGAGCATTCTGAGAAATAAGATTAGTATTTTCACTTTGTAATTGCTTACCCTCATTAATAACTTGCAAAGCATGATTGCGTAACTTTTTAATTTCAGCACTATTTCGTGATGAATCCTGATCCCACCTCTTTCTTTTTCGATCAAAATCCTTTACCTGCTTTGAGTATTTAGATTGTAATTCTTCATTACAGTCATTTAACTCAGATATAGACTTTAAACTGCGGTGTAAAGATTCTTCAAGTTTCTGCTCTCGCATGCTACCCAGCCTATGCCCTTTATTAATATCTCGTAGTGTATGCACATTGGCCATATTAAATAATAGATAATATATTAAAAAATGAATAAGGCACAAAAAGTAAATCACATCTCTAGTGAATATTATAGAGCCAGATCTACATATTTATCTGAAGAGGCAATTAAAGAAATTAAGGACTTGTCAGGTAAGGACCCTAATATTATTCATGCTATGGCAAAAAAGTATCATATATCTCCTTCTCGTGTTAAAGAATATATGGAAAATCGTGAACGTAAACAACAAGTAAGATATCAGAATGCTGATAATTTTTGGGATAAGGAGATTGAATCCATATACGATTTATATAGTGAACTCCCATATTAAAATTCTAGTTAATAGATACCGAATAGAGAAGCTATTGTCTCGGCACATATTAGATCAAAATTAAAACATATGTAAATATTTCAGAATATATATATATACTAATATCTTTAAATATAATGAAATACATATGAATATTTTGAAAGATTCTGGAATAATTCTTAATTTTTAAATATATATCTCAATAAATATAACTAAACATTTTGGAACTTTTCCTATTTTTTTAATACTCAAAAACTCTGATATGGGTCGTATTCATAAAGAATATTACAGTGCCAATGCAAGATATCTATCAGATGAGGCAATCCAAGAAATTAAAGGATCAATGGGTATGGTACCTGATGCCATAAATGCAATGGCAAAAAAATATCACATAAATCACTATCGTGTTATAGATTATATGGAAAATCGTGAACGTAAGTAACAGATGATATACTCTCGATCAACTCGAGCACAAAGTACTATTTCTTCTGATATATTACCTGAAAATTCCAACCA